GCAGGAATGAAAGCTGAAGATGTAAGTAGTCACGTAGAAATGTTTTACTTAAAAGCTCTGGTCCTATCAAGCAAGAAACAGATAGAACTAAGGAGTTTAGAGTCTACTATAAATCTAAATACCCTATCAAAAATTGCCTTTTGAGCCTCCCATCTCTCCTCTGGCAAATCTGCCCTTGAAATGTTGATAGAGGTTACTCGCTGGGGGGTGGGGGGAAGACCTGTAGAACTTACATGTGAGTCAGGCGTACAAGAACTAAGGATTACAGTGAACAAACTACATAAACCAGGTTGTCAGGAGTGCTCCTTGTTGTTCAATACTTTGGTGTCCAATAAAAAGCAAATGCGTGCTTTTCCTTCAGTGGAAAATTAATTGGGTCTCTCTTGCCTCTCTTGTCTCATCTTTTAGAGGAAACTGGTAAGAACATACTAACTTTGAGAGCTCTATCATGCACCTCCTTCTCTCTCTGAAGACAAACCTTTTTCTATATTCAAAATTTTACCCGTCTGGGTAAAATTTTAAATTCACATCACAACACAGAAGGATTTGCTTTTGTGAGGACAGCATGAGATGGGCATGGTTGACTGCAATGATTAACAAAACCATCTAGGAACACACACATTACAAGAAACACACATTGACAACAGCCTCCAGACAGAACAGGAGGAATTGAGCAGCAGAAACTGGCTCTCAGTTGAGGCGAGGTGTTGAAATAAAAGGATTCTTAGGAATAAGTGACAACAGAACTGAGTCTGAGCTTGGACTCCTAAGAGAAAATGAGATTACAATGGGCCACCCTCCACTCCAGCCCCTGGCTTTGGTGACAGGGAACATACACACATGTAGAATTAATTTCCACAGTCAATTTTCAAAGAACATCTTCATAACCATAGCAAGTTTAAAGCCTCAAGCAAGACTCAGCAGGAGCATACTGATCTGCTGTGTACATGCACTGAACAATTTAATCCTACTATGCATATGACCCCATACTCAGAGAAACTAGTTTGTCATTTGAACCCCATATCAAAAAGGGAAGGGGGAGGGAAGACATGTTAATTGGTCTCTGTGGCAAACAGCGTGCATCCTGAGGCAGAAGAATACGGAAATCCCACTTACTAATGCAAAATTTACTAACCAGTATGAACTCCTCCTAATTCAAATATAGCTCTTCAGACAACGAAAGGACGCTTTTACCCTACATACCATACCTTACAATAGTACACTCAGATCAAACAGAAGTAAAAGATACTATGATAACTCTTCTCTTCTTGTATTTGTAAGAAAAAGACAGGTTTTCACCAAGCTCTCAACTGTGACTCTTCTACCAAATTTGATTTTACTCTTTCTTTCAGTCCCTAATTCTTGTCTACATTAATTCTATGTAAAGGAAAGAGAAAGCATACATTTAAATAAATTTTCCAGATTTGCCGACAGAAGACAAATGTGTCACTCAGCGGGGAAAATTAAAGCTTTCCAGAGTTAATACCTTGCACAGATTTTTTTTTTTAGCTCAATTTCATTTTATTAGTCTCCAACCTTACAAACTAACAGGAATGAAAAGAAAATTATCTATAATAGATTTACATAAATGTATGCATATTTATTTCTACATGACCTACTCATCTGGATAGGAAGGTACAATAAATACCTCAAGGACTAATTTGGTGAGGCTGGTGCTTCACACAAAGTCTAGAAAGTTAGATTAAAATCTCGTCACACACATAAACTTCGGAAACAATTTCTTGTGTGATTTAAAACCTTTTCAAGAGGGATATATCCAAAAGAAAAGTTTCACAAGACATCCAATATGCATAGACAAAAGAAGATTCATTTGTAACTCATACAGCCCTTAAACGATGACAGCTGTGTAAAATTTTTTCCACTTGTATTCATGTTTTTAAAAAAAACTGATTTATGCTTTAATATAAGGTGAAAAAAAAAGTTATTTTGTATCAGCCACTTCTCTCCCCAGTTACAAATTATAACATTTTTGGCAGCCTAGGTGTGAGAAAAGAGGTAACTATGAACAAGTTAACATTCTGAGCTAGTACAAACAAGTTCGTTCACTAACAGACTGTTGACCAAGAATATATGAAACACTGACAAAGCCCTCTTACTACAGTTAGAGTAAGTTTCAGAAACCAGGTTTTAAGATAAAAGTCTCTGGGAAAGCATTATGCAGCGAGCA